CACACACACACACGTAAAAGCACAAAATTCAGTATTTACTCTGTGGACCAAACTCTCTCTTAGTTCTCAGGTAATAGTTCTGAATTGCTGCGATATGCCTAGCCCTTGCCCACCCTTGCAATTATGATGCAGTGTGGTGAAATCAGGCGCTCGTCAAAATGATGAACTTAATTGAAGAAACTGACTTTTTTCAACCAGTTTGGTAATTTTATCGTATTTGTGTGTGTATGTGTGTGTGTGTGTGTGTGTGTGTGTGTGTGTGTGTGTGTGTGTGTGTGTGTGTTTGGCTTACCCGGAACCTCATCTCTGAAATAGCCTCCGAGTTAAAATGTGAATAAGTTTCAGAGCAATTCACATCATACTGCAGTATACAGCACCATTCCACACCTTACTAAACAATACCATTTCACACTATACTACCGTATACTACACAATACAGACCATACTATATTATACCGTTACTGTTACGAAAAAAGAATTATCTGTTTTTTAAAAATCACGATGCTCACGTGTCACTCTGACATTTTGTCTGTACCATTTATCCTTATGACAGACTCGTCCTTTTGACAGCAGCTTGCAATTGCCACACATGTTATTTTATCAATATCGTGTCCGCTGTACCATGACAGAGTTATGATTACAGGAGATTGGCTAGTGAGATTAGATACAAAGAAAGCGCTTGGCTGATAAGACTCGAATCGCTGAAGCAAAAAATACGAGTTAATATTATGATCTCGAAACAAGCCAGCAACAGTAATTATTGAGAGACCAATATGTAAGTACTTCCTTGACTCCCAAAGCTCAGGGAGCAAAAAACATTTGCAGTCTAAATTCAACCCTTCTGCCTTGCACCTAATAAATCTGATGCTTTCATACAGTTTTTCCTTCTGAGAACAGACCTCAGTTTCAATTGGCTAAATCTGACATAATATAGTTCTATACGAAACACTTCCAACCCTGCCCCCACCCCGAAGAAATTCCGTTCAAGGAAAAAACAAACAAAAAACAAAATTAGGCGGGTTCACGTTCAATTAGTTGGTTGGCTGGTTACTATTTTTTTTTTAATTAGGCAAAAATATAACCTCATTTTGCAACGCAAAGACGCCTGTTTCCAATCTCTCAATGGGGCATTGACTGACCGTGTGTGTTGTGCAGAGAAATTAATGTTTCCATTTCTTTGCGTGCAGATTGAAATGGACTCGAGTCAGAGTTAAAATGTGAATGACTCACCTTTTAAGTCTCCGGTTCAACGGGTACATGTATTATTTACAATAATGTTTGCTACTCTGCTCAAAATCATTTTATGAGCTCCATGCAAAAATGGCTTCTTGCAAGCCCAGTTTGTCAACAACAAAAAAGGGGGATGAGAAAGAGAGAGAGAGAGATAGAGAGAGAGAGAGAGAGACAGAGAGAGAGAGAGAGAGAGAGAGAGAGAGAGAGAGAGAGAGAGAGAGAGAGAGAGAGAGAGGCCGACTATCACGAAAGAAATGCGTTAGGAGAAGAAACCACTCCAACAAGAGAGGGGTTTCGGCTTATGTGTGGAGTCCTGTCAGAGGGGGATTTGAGACCCCAGTTATCTCGATATCAGATCTGTACATCTTCAGGCCGGCTGGAGGCCTCTACATCCTCATCACGACAAAATTGTTATAATAATAAGATGCATGTAGATGACGGACAGCAAACGTGCTTATAATTACTTACATCTCATCAGTCCAACTTTCGCAGAGACCACACCATAGTTTGATACTCCAGCCAAACAATTAGCACTAGTCCCTGTTGATACAACACTGACATCACATACGCACGTACGTGCACGCAATTGACAGGTCCAACTTCTCTTGCCAGAAGGGGCGACTAATTAATTAGAATTCCGGCGTGAAGGATGAACACAGAGATTTATAAAGTCGTTAATCAAATCCGAACGAGCTTACATTTGCAACTGGCTTCACAAATAATCCACGCCAATCAAAAACCTGCACAGTTCATTCAGGAAACAATTCTTATATGAATGGCATTATTTCTAGCAACGTGCACAGTTATATATAACGCGCTTTTCGAGATAAGTTGGTGTTATCTGACAGCAACCTCTTTGACGGTGACAGACATCGCGGTGTATCCAAGTTCTTCTGTTAGGAGAGAAATGCAGTTACCTCCCCTCGCCATCTGTTGGGTCCCAAGTTGCAGTGGTGAGAAACCTCGCGTGCTGCAATCTCCGTCATCGCTCTATTCACACTCACTCTGACGTGTCTGCTCACGCATAGGCTTCCGGCAAGCTGGGGAAAGATCACGCTCAATATTATGATAGAGTTCAATGCGTTCAACTCCATGTTCTTAATCTCTACTCACATCGGTTTATGCATGTATTGATTTTCATTTATTCAGTCATTTGTTTGCTTGCTTGCTAGCTTGCTTTCTTGCTTGCTTGCTTGCTTGCTTGTTAGTTTGTTTGTTTGTTTGATTGTGTGTGCGTGTGCGTGTGTTTGTTTGTTTTGATATTTAAAAATTTTAAGTTTTTTTTAAATTTCATTTTCAAGAGACATAATGTTTTAGGGTTTCAGAAGCAATTTCCTATCCAGTTAAGGTCAAAGGAATAAGACATTCAACGTAAATCCATAATATTGCGATATTAAAATGTCTTATTGAGGGGATATATTCGTAGAAAACGAGACGCATTTTTAAAAAACCAATGTCTGTTATGCACGTCGCTACATTGATGAATTCTCTCAGGGGTTGACTCTTATTGCACCGTCCTACACACTGCATGTGGGAGTTTCGAGTAATTTATTTTCCTGTAGCCGATTTTTTTCCAGCGTGGGTGTTACAATTTTGTACATCCCCTTCTACAGGATGAAATTATTTTAAGATAATTTAATGTTTCAGACATACAGTTACATCTAATGAAATATACCCTATTCCCCAGTTTGAACTCGAGTGTCTGAAACTAAAGTGACATATCAAAACGTCTGCGGTGGTCAAAACAAAAACAATTTTTTAATGAATAAATGAAAAAAATGAATGAATAAATTAGTAAAATTAAATAAATAAATAAATGAATAAATGCCCAAGTTAATAAGTTAATAAGTAAATAAATAAATTAAAACACTGTACTGTCGGAACGGTAGACAGACATTCTCTTTAACTCGATTTGTTTCAACCGACGCACTATAAAAAAAAATGAGCCAAGTCTGGCGCAAGAGTGTGTCAAGCCTTCATATCCAGCTCAATGCAACTGCATGTACGATCTATTCCACAGGCATATCAAATACGATTAACATGGCACATGCTATGTGGGTGTTTTGAAAACAATACTTTTATTAGGCAGAGTGATAAAAAAGGCTATAATTCATATACTTTGCTGTCACATAATGTTTCTGTTTCACTGTTTGAGCCCTGAAGAGCGTTTCATTTCTCCAAAGTTAAAGAGTATTCCCAGCTAACCAATACTGCAACGACGGCACAATAAATATCGGCGAACAATAAATAATTAAAGTTCGAAAAGTGTCCTGCACAATAAAAATTGAGAGATCCATACAGAATTTTTAATACACTTAACTACGAGGGGCATACAATTATAGTCAGTCTTTACACTGGTCATAAAAGGATTGATGTACAGCAATGAAGATATGGGAATGTGATTTCGTAGTTCTTGAATATCAAAAAAGGTAACGCCATAATTAATGGAAACAACGTCAACAAAGGAATCTTTTGAACATCGCTCCGTAATAAAAATGTCTAAATTCAGTTTAAACAGGGCAAGTAAAATTCACCAACGAAAAGGAACAAATTAAGTGTTAACCTTGCTGAAAAATGTCCTTATGAAACTATTAAATATTGGAAAAGCAAGTTCAAATCGGGCTGTTTATCTGGTTAAAATAGCCCCGAGACGGGTGTCCGACAATTGTTGTTACGGGGGTATATGCGGGTAAAGTGAAGAAACAGGTGATTGAAAATTGATGAGTAATAGTTATTAAGTGCAATCAAAATGTGCATAGGATTCATAGAAAGGGTCCTGCACAATAGTCTACACATCATCCTAGGTACCAGTAAGGTGGGTTCCTCGACGTTTGACACCAGATCAAAAACCAAGAGTTGACTATTGCAAGAACCTATCAAATTAAAATTGGAAGATACCCATCGAGTTAAAACAATGGATGAGACGTGGGTTCAATATTTTGATTATACGTTAGTAGAGTTTGCTCACGTAGACTGGTTATGTCTGTTCTACTGAACTCTAGATTTCTATTGTATTCTGCCATTAAAAGAATTATCACGTTAAAGAGAAATACATTCGAGACCAACCAGATCACATTTTATTCACGTAGCTATAATTATTAAATGTTTTTGGAAACTTCGTAGGTGGGATTTCCAACTTAACGGTTGAACAAGACAAAATGAATACGCTGAGTGATCTGAGCATTTGGGACGAGGTGACAAGCTCCGAGCGCTAAGCGTAATGAGACAAGAGACCCCCTTGGGAAACGTTAAGAAACAATGAAAAGAGTAATGCAAACTAGATCTAGTGCAGATCGATATGGCTTTAGGGTTGTTTTTCCCCCTGGTATTTTCACCTTAAAACGGGTATGGTAAGATGTGTATGTGGGGGGGGGGGTTGCGAGGGAGGATTCTTCTACATAATACGACTTCAATTGAAGTGTTTTTACAAGTTTTACAGAAGTTACTTTTATGTAAAAAGAGAACATACCCCCCCCCCCCCCAAAAAAAAAAAAAAAATCGTTTCACGTTTTATCTTATAACTTAACTTATAAAAGGTTATATGAATTCCATAATATCACTATTTATTTTTCATCAATATTATTTTTTCATCTTTTTCACCTTTATGAAAATGTAACATTGTGTGGAGCAAGCTCACAGCCACATGAGCACTCCTACATAATGAAATATTTTTAAAAAACAGTCATACAAGAGATTAAAGCTAAATTAAAAACTGAAACAAGTCAGACAGAAACAATAAATTAACGATCAAACTGGACGGCAAACAG